CTCCACGGTACTTAACAACAACAACAACAACACCTACTCTTAAGGACCTCTCTGTCTTGGCATTCTTACTACAATGTGCCTATGATTTAATGAATTTGTATTTATTCTGATTAATGTATGCTATGGGTTTTTGTATCTGTGTATTCACGCCTTTCATCAACTCTGGAGAATCACCAGTCATATATCTTCTAATACTGATAGCCTATCCTCTAGTCTTTCTATTAACTTTTTTGTGGGACACTGATTAGACATGTTAGAACAGCTTATTGTATCTCCCTATTCCACTAGCTCACTTAAATATTTTCCATCTCCTCTATTTCTTTCATATTATGGGTAATGTCTTCAGATCTAAACTCTGATTGACTCATTCTCTAGAATTTCTACTATTACTTAACCTTGTTATTATGTTTTAAGTTTTAATAATTATATTTTCGGATTCATGTAAAATGCTATGTTTTCTATTTTAATCTTCTTGCTCATTTCTAATCTTTCGTTGCTTGCTGTTTCCTAATTATATGTTTTAGTTTTTTAAACAATTAGTATTTATTACTTTATTATTATAAATTCCTATAGCTGCAATTTCTGGATATCTAAACTAATTATTTCTGGTTTATACTTTTTTCACTTATGCTGGTTTCTTCCTGTGTACGATTTTCTTTAAAAAAGTTCATTCTAAGTTATTTTAGTCCGTGGACATCTTAGAAGCCAAATTACTGAACTTTCCTACAGAGACAATTGTTTTTACTATTGACACTGTTTTATATATAGGTGCCAGAGGGAAGCACCACTGTGAAATCATTTTAGCTGCCTTCAAGATTCCAGCCCAAAGTGAAACAGATAAATTCAGCAGCCCCTCTCTGCCACTGACACCAAGCTTCATCTCTTGATAACTATAGCAAGAATATGACATTTGCCCTTCGTGCAACATCACATTACTGCTTGTCTACTGTTCATTTCCCTCCAGTCTGAGTTTAGCTCACAAGTGGTGAGGAGAAAGGAAGAAGAGCTTTAGAAATTTCCTTTAGTTTGTGGAAGTTTGGCAATACACTAAGTAGTAGGTTTTATATAGTGCAGCTGTTTTGCAAGAGGATCATCATACAACTCATACCAGAAATATGTTAGACACTGACATCTTTGAAAAGAATGGCAGTCAGTTAGAGATTACCATTGTCTAGTTAAATAGTTAAGAAAATGGAGTCATAGAAACAAATCCATGAGTGAAATACAATAGTCCAGTCTTGTTGTGAGCTAGGAGCATATTAGGTAAGGATGAAACATAAAGAGATATGACTATTTGATCCCAGTTAACTATAGGAGTACTGGTGTTACACTGTGGGTTAATGTGCTTGACTGCAGGGTCTGTTTTAAGCACAAGGTCGGCAGTTCAAGCTCACCAGCCACTCCTCAGAAACCCTACACACGGTCACTATTGGGTCAGAACCGACTCAACAGCACTTAACAATGATAGGCCAACCCAGCCTAGTTCTTAGGCATAATCTCCATGAAAGGGCCTTTACTCTGAACGTTTTCCCAAAGCTCCTTACCAACCCTACTGCTTCTTGGCTTAGTTATTTTTTTAATGCAACATGATTTCACGCACAGTCCTGAGCTTATGAAAATCTTTAATATATTTTAAATCTTGTATATAAAGTACTCAGAAGTGTAAAAGATTCCATAGTAATAATACTGAATTATGATGGATGTTTCCCTGTCTGAACAATATGAATAAACCTAAATGTAACTAAAAAGATACTGTGGGGCTATGGACACTCTGGTCTTCTTATTCCATCTTTAAAAAGTGGTACTGATAGCAGATCAAGTTTTAAATACATTCAGGTGAGCATGTCCTTTCTCATCTCTGGGGTCTCCGTTGTTGTTCAACATTCAGCAGAGATCTGTGTTACTTTGCTACCAAACTACCACTCCTGAAATTGTAAGTCTTCAAATGTCAAATATTTCTCCAAGAACTCATCAACTGATTAGATCTAAACAATTTCTTTAAAAGCTCTAGGATCACTGAAAATTCACTAGGTTTTAAGAATAAGTGTCAGACCATTTTAACATCCTAGGGACAATACTGTTGATTTTTTTTAAATAAAAATGATAAAATGCAGACAGGTTGAGTTAAATAAAAAACTGCACAAATTACAGTTATTTGCTATGAAACCCTAGGAAGCTCTTCAGAAAGGTTTCAATGCAAAATTAATCACCTTGTGAACACTGAATCAGAAAAGTTCAAAGACCATATAATAGTCCAAGATCACAATGTAATTTACCTTGTAAATCTAAGTATATTGTAACTACTGTGTAATCAAAAACACTTTAAGGATTTCATTGACTTAGACATACTCACTGAGCATCTATCAACCACACAGACACTGTGCTAAATTGTGCAGATACAGAGTGGTGATGTTGTCGTTAGGTGCTGCCTAGTTGGTCCCAACTCTTAGCGACTATATGAACAGAATAGAGCCCTGCCCAGTCCTGCACCATCTCCCCAATAGTAGGTATGTTTGAGCCCACTGTTGTAGACAATTGCTGTCAACCCATCTCCTTGAGGATCATCCTCTTTTTCACAGACTCTCTACACTTTACTAAGCATGGTGTTCTTTCTCTAGTGATTGGTCCCTCCTGATAACATAACCAAAGTAAGCAACACAATGTCTTGCCAGCCTCACTTCTAAGGAGCACTCCAGCTGTATTCCTGCAATATGGTGGTGATAAAGACAAGAACACTCTTCCTTTTGGAGCTTATTTTTATTACTGCACTAACTTCTGAAACTATTCAGCAATATTTCTACTTTTCGTTTTGTACCTTGGAGGATATTTTGTTTACCAAAAGTATGTTCAAAGCCTGTTTCACCAGGCAGGTTCTAATGCAATGGCCTCAGCTTCCTCAGGACAAACCACTTGTGTAAGTGACCTGGGAGAGAAAGGTGTCAGAATGTGAGTATGTGTGTACATACGTGTGAATATTTCAACTGATTTCCTCATGATAAAAGAAAGCTGCCTCTACAAAAACAAAAAAAAAAAGGTCATCTACATTTTACATCATCTAACAAATGTACACGCACAATATGTACAAACTCACACATTCGCGCTAGTAGAGCTGAGGCAGCAGCTAATGTCTGCTAGTCCCAGAGATAAATTAACAGGCAGCCAACATCTGAGGAGCCAGAAACACTCACTCTAAGTGTGAACACATATTTGATTGCCGGACTGTGTCTTTCCTGGGACTGACCTTATAAATTAAACAGTGTAAATCTCAAGTAAGTGTTTTCTGCACATTTTGATTCACTGTGAAGATTAAGATGCCCTTCACATTAACAGCTAACATTAATAGCCATTGTTGGGCATGACCTGCTTCATTACTGGTGACTTACAATACTTACATACACACATTCTCACTAACACACAATTTTTAAAGAAAATGGGTTGGGGGGATGCTTATTATCTATTGAAATGAAAAGTGAAATAACTAAATTTTTAACTAGAATATGAAACTCCCAGTACCACTGTTGCTGTTGAATCAGTTCCATCTCACAGAGACCCCACACATAGAACAGAAGTACCCCTCTAAGTGTTCCATGACTGTAAATCTTTATGAAAGCAGACTACCGTATCTGTCTCCCAAGGAGCAGCTAGTGGGTCAAACCACCAACCAAACTCTTAACCACTCTGCAACCAAGGCTCCTTGGATATTGAATCTGCACATAGAAAATCGTTTTTAAATAGAAAAGTGACCTATCTTTATTTCCTGGAGGTGTAATAACATGGAAGCACCCGATAAGGGGCAAGTAATTAATATCTGAGCACCTGTATCCTATTTCTATAACTTAAGGCTCAGTTGAAATGTTCCTTCCTCAGGGAAGCACTTCCTAAGCTATCAGATTAGTCTGGTTTGTCATCAGATGCAACCACAGTATGACATCCTTCGTCTTTTCTGACACTCATCACTCTAATAATAATGATGTGAAGTGGTTGTCTTCCTTACTGAACCACAAATTCCAAGAAGGCACTGACAATGTTTGTCACGTTTCTTCTGCAATTTCAATATATGGCATAATGGGCAATTTTAGAATTCATTAATTAATGAAGGAATGACCGCATAAATGGAATAAAAGTATGTATCCTAAATTCACCTCTAGAAAATATGAAGGAGTATCTGAGAAAATTAATGCTTTTGAAGATAACAGAGTGGAACAAGGAACATAGTAGCTGACCCCAGCTCTAGCTATGACTCTGAAATACTTGTATCTGCTTGGAGGAGTGAATGTATAGAAATCCAAAGTTAATCAAATGATAGAATACTTACCTTCAGATTATTGTTTACATGCCAAATAAGGATGTTGTGCAATTTTCCAAAGCTAGAAGAATGCCCAATCTGACTTGAAAAGGAAAATAAGTAACATGTTCTCAACGGATTGATTCCCATTTGAAAAAGTAAATACAATGTATTATGTTGTTGTTGTTAAGTGTCACTGAGTCTGTTCCCACTCACTGTGACTCTATCTAGGGTTTCCAAAGGGTGGCTGGTGGATTTGAACTGCAGACTTCATGGTTAGCAGTGCAGTATTTATCTACAGTGCCACACCAGGATGTCAGAATGTATTATAGTGACAGCATTAATATGAGAGTTATGTTGTCCAAAATTAGGGCATATGAAATAATACTTTCCAAGGACATATAAAATGGATTGTGGTAGATTCATAAATTCATCAGCTGTGTCAGCATTACTGAGAATTTAGAAATATACTCAGTGAATAGTATAAAACAAATAAGAAGCCTAAGAATAAACAGTCTGAAGCAAGTGCCCAAATTAAAATCGGTGGTTATCAATCAATAAATCTACAATCTGCCATTTTATGATCTTTTATGTGATTTTGTTCAACCACTTCCCGAGTCACTGAATCACTTCCAATGATTATTAGATTAGATTTCTAGATTCCTTCTATTTCCATTTCATTTTCTTGATACTTCCCCCTCTCAGCATGGCTTACCTGTAGTGTCGGGAAATCTCGTCTTCCACTTGGGTAATAAAATCACATTTGGTACATGTGTGTTCTTTGCTTTCCTTGACAGCCTGCTGCCCATCTGATCCTTGCAGATGATTTGTTTCTTGCTTGACATCTGATGCTTGGGACTCATGCACACTCTCATAATGAAAGAGGAGCACGTCCACGTCAGGAGTGGAGAAAGCGCACTGATGGCACTGGTGTTTGACTCTCGAGCTTCCGGCTGCCCCAGGAGACAAGTGCAAAAGCAAGAGTGCACAGTGGGGACAATTACTTTTTCTACAAGCAAACGGATAAGTGATTTCACCAAGGTGCTTTTCTGGGCTGCAGAGGCCTCTGGGGCAGAATGGACAGTGCTTAATGGTACATTTATGAATGTTATGAAGCTGTTGATAGTGACGAAGGAGCGGTCCCACTACAATGACATCAGGGCCATGGCTTTTGGAATATCTAAAGTCACAGAACTGACAATTGTAGCTTGTCACCATGTTATCCTCGGCTCCCTTGCTGGAGAAGTCCTTCTTCTTAACCCCACTAGAGCCCTTGTCTGCCTTGGAAACGGACTCCCCTTCTGCACTTTTGGCTAGGTCATTCTGATTAATGACAGAGCCTCTGGAAAGCTTATCGTTCAATTCTGGATTAAGGCTGCCTGACTGAGCTCCTCCATGCTGTTTGCCATAATGTTCTAGCAGTTTAACTGAGCTAGATGACTCACAGCTGAAACTACAAAATTTACACCAGTAGTAACTGGTGGCATCTGTACCATTTTGTCTCGAGGAATCGAGGCGCTTAATGGGCACTGAGTAACCAATGGGAGTGTCATCGCCAGTCTTGACTGTGATTTTGTCCGGCCACTTTCCCAAGTCTCCAGAATCACTGGAACGAAGTGCAGGGATGGATTTGTTAGAGTTTTTCTCAGTAGGTTTCACACCCTCAGAGGAGGGGAGAGAAGCCTTTATTTTGTTTGGGTGAGTCTGAAGAAAATGTTGTTCTAGTTCAGTCGATGAATTGCCCATATAAGTGAAATTGCAGAATTTACAACGGAAGTACTTGGTGTTTCCTTGGCAATCTGGTGTTTTCCGTCCAATGCCAATGAATGTTCCACCTGAAGTGACCTAGTGCAGAAGAGATGCATGTTACTTTAAACTTGTCGTTTGTTCAGTGAATTCTCAAGGGGGAAGGGATGTGTAACACAGCCAAGGATCCGTATCAAAAAATACAATTGTATTTATTATGATATCACTTGAATCATCAGAGCCAAATAAATGTACTTCTTATTTCTCCTCCATAGCTACTCTTTGAGAGGCACATTCTGCTAAACAATCAAAGCCAAAGTAAGACCTGAGAGACCATGGGAGCTAATCCAAGAGATTTATTAGTATATATCTATATTTAAAATAAGGCAACAATTTCCAACTGAGTAGATTTTACTATTTCGTCCCTCAAATCTTATTCTTGAGGAAGCATCCAGATCACATGGGATTTCTCTTCACCGAGCTTAAGGGTTGCTGTCAAAACCAGAAACAATTACTCAGAGACTACTCAATGCAGATATTCTCCAAGGAAATCTGTTCAGATCTTACAGCAATGAAGCTGCAGAAAGAGATGAGCTATCGTATCTTCTGGGTAAAACAGAGGTGTTAAAATGACCACTCAGAATGGCTTATAATTGAAGCACTAGCAACCAGAGTAATCTGAAAATAAAAGGAATGGAATGGTCAGGAAATTTTTATGATGGAGGACCAATGTGGAAAGTTTAAAATGTTTCTCATTCTAGAACAAATTAAAAGAAGAAACTCTCCAAGGGCCTTATTTGACTAAGGCTCTTTCTCATGGCAAAGGGACCAAGACCTCCCATGAATGGTTGATGGGATGTTCAAAGGCCAAAATAACATAATTCATATGATTAACATCACCCCAGCTCTGCTTTTGTCCTCCAAATTATGAAATTACATAGCAATGGAGTGTGATGGATTGAATTGGGTCCCGTCACGAATACGGATCACACATCCTAAACCCCCATTCCTTTGGATGGAATCACATTTAGGAATAGGAGTTTCTTTGTTATATTAATGAAAACTGTATCCGTGAAGGGTGTGCTTTGAACCAATCACCTCTGAGTTATAAAAAGAGCAAGGAATCCCAAGTGGAGGGGAAGACACGCCACAGGAAAATCACCAAGAAACCAACTAATAGGAGCTGGAAAGAGACAAGGACCTTCTCCTAGAGCCGACAGAAAGAGCAAGCCTTCCCCTAGGCGTGACACGCTGAACTCAGTCTTCAAACTTCCGAAACTGTGAGAACTAAATACCTGCGTGGTAAAGCCACTCACTTGTATTGCTCTAATGGCAGTACTAAGAAACTAAGGCATGGGGTTATGAAGACCTGTACAGGGTTCTCCTATGCATCTCAATGGGTAGCCCAACTAAAGGCCTCCATTGAGCTGCCGCCGAAATGCATGGTTTTAAAGTTTGTCACTGAAATGCTCCAAAGAGGAAATGATTTCCTCTCCCAACAATCAAAGAAATTTTTAACTTTTCCAGCAACCAGATGTAATGCATTAAGCAAGTGGCATAATCATGTTCTGCCTTCTGCAACAGCTGCTCAAAAATGACACGTGTGATCGCTGCTCATATCCAAAGCACATCATGAGAAAAGTCTCAGGCATCACAAAATCATTTTAAAGGCTCTACTTGAAATGCAAATAATATTCCTTTAGTGCACTGAGCAATGTGTTTGTATTTCTACTGCACAGGACGAAGACTGAAGTCTTCATTCTGCCACTTAAAAGACAGATGTAACCTTAGTCAAGTTGCTTGACCTCTCTGGTCAACAGCTTCCTCAATTAGGAAAATCTCTATATTTACTGCCAGTACTACAGTTCTAGAAAAGGAACCCTGGCAGCATAGTGGGTTACGAGTTGGGCTGCAAACCACAAGATCGGCAGTTCAAATCTATCAGCCACTCCTTGGGAGAAAGATGAGGCTTTCTGCTCCCATGAAGATTTACAGCTTTGGAAACCTTATACAGGGCTGCTATGACACACCACTGCCACCACAGCCACCACAGTTCTAGGAAGTATGCAGGAAGATAAAAATACCTCAACTTTAACTGTACATTAAGATAATGATTATGAAGCTCTCCCCAACAGTCTTTAATTGAAGAATGATAATGCTTCACTTTATCCATCATACTAAGCACACAGATTTCAAGTTGAGCATCATCTAACAAAAAAGGAAAAAATGGGAAGACCTCTCAAGAATGAACGCTGGCAATCAATCCCTGGTGTGACAGATGTCAAAGTTATAGCACTCAAAGACACAGTTTATTTGCCACTCTAACTTAACACTTAAGTGAATTAAGTTAACTATAATTAGTGATGACATGTGATGTATAATATTGCAAAATCTTCTACATGTATTTCCCAATTGGCTAGAAGTGAGGAGAAATCTTAACTCCTACAAACGAAACATTTCAATGTGATGCTGCCAATTCAAGAACTGAACTAAACTTGAATCAAAGAAGGCAAATCCAGAAGTATCCCATTCTTCTCTAATAGGCAAAGCAAGTGTGCAAAATCTAGAGACATAAATTTGCTTTGTTTTAGCTACCACATTGCTTCAGGGTTGTCAAGCTTCCAAAATATAAAACATTTTGAACTTCTGCTTGTACAAAAGGGATTCCTGAGAAACCACGACACATCATCACTATTTCTTGGGTTTTGCAATCATCAGGCCTCATGCTCAGTGTCCACACTGAAAACACCAAATCAGGAGCGAACATACTCTTGAGAAATCCCTCTACCTAAAATTTTGAAATGAGTTTAAATTATTGCTAAACATCACACCATCTCTTCCAATATTTGACAACAACCTTAAGTGTCAGAAAATCCAGACTAAGAATGACTACACTCAGAATAGCCTTTTTATAAAAAAATTAAAATAAAAAAAGAGCCAGCAAACGCTCTGGTTAGGATTCACTAAGCTACTACAGACTGCATTAGGCCCTTCATATGGGTGGATGCCGTGCGCCTCAAAGTTGTATTTTTTACTGAAAATCATTCAAATCCATTATTCAGCAGCTGTAAACTTTGGTGATGCTAAAGAGTGTTTTTATACTTCTGACCACTCTCTCGAAACCACATAAAATAAACAAAAACTCAATTAAACTAAGCACACAGATTTCAAGTCTGTCAGTAGCTGAGCATCATCTTGACAAAAAAGCTAAAAATGGGACACCATTTTGTTTAACAACAAGAACAACACATCTGGCACTTTTGTAAGTCATCCATTTGCCTTCTTAGTAAATAGTAGTATACAGTGTAATAGTTTTATATACTATGAAACAACTAATATTAGAGTTCCATATTGTAAAATATCATTTTGTAAATGTTGTAAATCTTGGTAATATTGACATAATTACCCATTATTCAGCTCTTTTTCTCTTTCAAAAATAACACATAAAGGCTATATTTGGTCAGTTTTTATACTTTCTATGTCGCTAGATGTACATTTACGACAGAGGGAAACATACCTGATGCACATTATCTAAATGCCATTGTGAAAGAAAATAAAGTATGATTTTAGAAGACAGTACCGATGACGACTGACCATCTCCATTTTGTTGTCGTGACCCACAAATGTTCACTTAACACAATTATTTTCTAGGTTAAGTGCATATGTACACAAATACACAGAGCAGGAAGAGTTGTGCAAAATAAATGCTTGCAGCAACATTTTAATGAAACATAGTGCCAGGGAAGAGTGCCTACACATTCAGAGAATTATTTCAAACTTTTCAAATGTTTGAATGTAGCAAGGAGTAGAAAAAAAAGTTTCCTTCTCTAGTTGTGATTATACAAAATGAGATCACAAGCAGTGTAAAAAGTTCTAAGACGTAAGCATAGCTTCCCATCTTTCTTATTTGACTAACCAGACCTTTAATTATAGACTAACAATCCAGCAATTCTTTTGCTATGGTAGCCACGTTTGAAGACATGGATTAAACCACACATTTTGCTTAAGCCAAAAATGACATCTATTCATTCACATGATTATTAACTACTAGGGACGTAGCTTGTAGCAGACCCTATAAAAGGTATTAAGAATAAAACAGTGAACAAACTAGATCATATCTCTGGCTTCAAGATACTTATAATTTAAGATTCAAAATTGTATATAAAAAAATATTTTTTCATTTCTATCTCCCCTGCCTCCTAAGGAAAGTTCAATCAGTTAAGTTCCATGAAAATATACATCATTTAACCTGGTTATACAGTTTCCTCAGCTGTACAGTAAGTCATACTGTATACTTTGCCACTTCATAGGACTATTGTGAGGAGCAGCTGAGAGAATGTACCTGAAATTTCCCACAAACTCAAGGGCTGTGCCATCCAATAGAATTTTCTGTTCTACCCAATATTGTAGCCAGTCCTTGAGTAATGATGGGCCAGTACAGCTAAGGAAATGATTGTTTCACTTCATTCTATTGCATTTAGGTAATTTTATTTTTTTCCTTACTGTTGCTGTTAAGTGCCATCGAGTCGGTCCTGACCCATAGCAACCCTGTATAGGGTCTCTGAGGAGCAGCTGGTGAGCTTGAACTGCTGACCTTGCAGTTCATACCAACTTTGCAGTTCAGTTCACTAACCCACAGCGCCACACCAGGACTTCCTAGCTCGTTCTAGCTTTACTGAGTTGAAACTGAAATAGCCACATGTGACTAGTGGTGCCATACTTAACAGCATGTTCCACAGTATGACTTCATATGGAGGGAACGACTGTTTTATACACTGTGAACTCCTCCTGCCAATGGGATGAACAGACTGAAGAAAGGGAAAGTGACAAAAGTCACTGAGGAGCACAAACTCATAACCTTGCCACTCCCAGCATTCTTAGCTGTAAATCAGTAGGCTCTGTAGTTACTGAGTCCATGCTTTTTCATATCCCTTCTTTGACTACAGAAATAGTTCTCTTTGGAAGTAGGCAGGGGCTCAGTGTATGTGGTAGAATGAATGAATGAACTCAGTGCATGAGACGTGAACATGAATACAAAATGTCTCCCACCCAGGTCCCTGGGTTACCTCGGACAAGGACGCGACAGTGATTCATGCATC